TCGGCTTTTAGTGACGTGGGATTATTAACGGGTGATGTGACTATAAATCCAAACGCGAGCTGTTTAGTAATGACAACTGAGGTTTGTAGGTGGACAACTTTTAAATTCATTCGAATAAAGCGATACTTGTCAAACTTTATCAAAAATTCTTAGATTTTACTCGCAATGCTTTATCGTGGTAATGATGTTATCATGCGAGAGGTTTCATGGGTTGTCTTTGATGAAATTCATTATATGCGAGATAAAGGTATGTGCAATCTGAATCGGTTATATTTGTTATATTGTAAATTCAATTTTAACCTTTATTTACAAATCAGTAAGAGGTGTAGTTTGGGAAGAAGTTCTAATATTATTACCTCATCAAGTACATTTTGTTTTCTTGTCTGCAACAATTCCTAATGCAATGGAATTTGCTGAATGGATATGCAAGATACATGCTCAGGTTGACTTAAAGTTTTTTACGTATTATTAAAGATGTAATTTTATGTAATTTTAATTCACTCCCTTTCATACTCTTTCGTAGCCATGTCACGTTGTATATACTGACTTTCGTCCCACACCCTTACAACATTATATTTATCCTTGTGGAGGTGATGGCATATATATGGTGGTTGACGAAAACGGTGTATTCAAAGAAGATAATTTTTTACAAGCAACTCAATCATTATTACCAGATCAAGATATCGAATACAAATCTTTTAAGGGTAAAAAAACAACTGTAATTGATAAATCAACCAAAGGTAAATGTTGACTTTAAATCTATTCACATATACCTATGGTTTTTTCGGTAAATTTTACTTATGTTTTATTATTTGCGCTTTTATAATTCTAGGTCCCTCAGATATTATTAAAATCATAAATATGATTATGCAAAGGAATTATCAACCTGTAATAATGTTTTCTTTCGGAAAGAGTCTGTGCGAAAATTACGCGATGCAAATAAAACAGTTTGATTTTAATAATGGCAAGTTAATATTTGATAATATTTGTTTTATTAATATTTATGTTGATGGTGTTGTTTGATTACAATTTTTATAGATGATGAAAAAAAGATTAGTAAAAACTGTGTTTGATAATGCGATTGATGTGCTTGATGTGGAAGATCGGCAATTGCCACAGATAAAATTTTTGTATCCCTATTTATTACGTGGCATTGCCTTTCATCACTCCGGGTTATTGCCTCTTTTAAAAGAAATAGTCGAGCTGCTATTTCAAGAAGGTCTAATAAAGGTCCTATTTG